CTACCTCACTTTCTTGAAAGATTTCAATTTTTATTCCATCAATTCCTGGTGCCTTGTTCTTTGCCAATTCTATCAATGCACCTTGGACTTCCTCCTTCAATACTTGGCTCTTGATCATATGCTACCTTTTGAAACAGTTGAACATTAACCACTTCCTTTTGGTACAGTGACTCTGTGTATTCCTTCCATCTTCTCTTGATGTTTCCTGCATCATTCAATAATTTGCCCAGGGAAACATTCAATAACGAAAGTTGAGGGTTGAATTTTTTCTTCAGTTACCCCAGCTTGAGAAATGCTGAGTCCGTTCTTCCTTTTTGGGTTAATGATTCCAGAATCATTGCACATTTTGTTATAATAGTTGTCTTTATCTTCTCAAGCTGACCTTTGAAATTTTCTGATAAGCTCTTGTACCTTCTCATTTCTTCCATTTGCTTTAGCATCTCTACGCTGTAGAGCAAGTTTTAGTGTCTCTTCTGACATCCATTTTGACCTTTTCCTTCTTCCTTGTCTTCTCGATGACTTTTTGCTTTCTTCTCGTATGATGTTCTTGATGTCATCCCACAACTCTTCTGGTCTTCGATCTTTAGTGTTTAATATATCAAATCTGTTCTTCAGATGATCTCTAAATTCAGATGGGATAGATTCAAGGTCATATTTTGGCTCTCATGGTCTTGTTTTCATTTTCTTCAGCTTCAGTTTGAATTTGTCTATGAGTAATTGATGGTCTGTTTCACAGTCTGCCCCTGGCCTTGTTTTGACTGATGATATGGACCTTTTCCATCACCTCTTTCCACAGATATCGTCAATTTGATTTCTATGTATTCCATCTGGTGAGGTCCATGTGTATAGTCATCTCTTACGCTGTCTAAAGAAGCTAAAGATTTGAAATGAACAAATCATCGGTTTTACAGAATTCTATCATGCGTTCTCCAGCATCATTTCTATCACCAAGGCCGTATTTTCCAACTACTGATCCTTCCCCTTTGCTCCCAACCTTTGTATTCCTATCACTGGCAATGATCAAGACATCTTGACTGCATGTTTGATCGATTTCAGATTGAAGAAGCTGGTAGAATTCTTCTATTTCATCTTCACTGGCTTTAGTGGTTGGTGCAGGCTTTTCTCCTACAGGCTTCCCTGCAATTGCATCATCATGGTCAACTCTACTTTGAGGAGGTAGCTCTTCACAGTTGTATTTTGAGTGCCTTCCAACTTAAGAGACTCATTTTCTGGCTCTATGTCTTACAGTGTTTCTCTGCTATTTATAAGGTTTTCAGTGACTAAAGATTCGGAAATAGTTGTCACTCTTTCTTTCTAGTCTGTCTTCATCTGGAAGCGTATCTGAAACCTTTCCACCATGGGTGACCCTGCCATGGTATTTAAAATACCGGTGGCATAGCTTTCAGAATCACAGCAACTCACAAGCCCCCACAGTATGGCAAACTGACAGATGAGCGGAGGTTAGTAAGGATTACAATCTAATAAACCCTCTGGGGTGGTTCTAGTCTGTCACAAAGGGTCTCTGTAAGTGGACATCAGCTTGATGAACCCTAACAACCAACTGTATTGATTATACCAGTCAGTAGGATAAACAAGAATCTTACAGAGAAGAACTAATGGGATGCCATAGTGTTTAGACATTTGTATACTAGCATCCATTAAGAAATATATTTGTCTGTAACGAATGTTCTAATAATCACATTTAAATTTCTTCAAGGGAGACGTAAATTTGTCCTTTAACTGATAAAAACTTGTCATTATGAGATGTTAAGAATGCTACTACACCGTTGTCATCCATCTGTGTTGTGCTATACTGTCATGCTGTTGTTGCTAGTTGCCAGTGAGTCAGTCCAACTTATAGTGACCCTATGCACAGCAGAACAAAACATGGTCCTAAACTGCGCCATCCTTACAATCGTTAAATTTGAGTCCACTGCAGCTGCCACTGTACCAATGCATCTCAGTAGCCAAGGGTGGGGGGTATCCCCTTCTTTTTCGCTGACCCTCCACTTGACCAAGCATGATGTCCTTCTCCAGGCACTTGTCCCTCCTGATATGTGTCCAAAGTATGAGAGACGAAGTCTCGCCATCCCATCCAGGCTTTTAAGAAGCATTCTGGCTGTATTTCTTCCAACATAGAAGCATTTGCTTTTCTGGCAGTCTATGGTACTTTTAATATTCTTCTCAAACACCATAACTCAAATGCATTGATTCTTCTCCAGTCTTCCTTATTCATTGTCCAACTGTGACATGCATATAATGAAGCTACTGAAACTACGATGGCTTGGGTCAGGTATACCTCAGTCCTCACACTAACAGCTTCAGTCTTGATGTCATCTTTGCTGTTGTTATTTCCACACCATACAACTATCAGATAACTATGTTAAAGACACTAACAAGGTTATTCTAGAAATATATTTTCATGTGTTATTTATAAAAACACCTGCTCATATGTAATGGCATGGAATATGTCATGCAACCTCTGGTCCCAACTTTAAAGAGATAATACTTGTCTTTCACATAAACTGTCATAATAAAGACAGTGAAAAAGAGAGAGCATGCAGAAGCCTTTGAAAACTGAAGTGTTTTTATCATTGCACGTGACGTATATTACAATTTTACCTGTTTTCCCAGCTTCCGTGCACAGATTGGACAAGGTTCTGGATTAATACCTCCTGATGTTTTGTCTTGAGACTATCCAAAAAAAGAACAAATTATGTCAGTTACATTTTAATATTTTAAACCTTACATATGCTGGTAATTGCAATTTAGTAGCAATTTAAGGAGTCCTGGTATGGCATGGTAGGATAAGTACTGGAATGCTAACCTAATGGCTGCTGGTTCAAATCTATCAGTCACACCTTGGAAACCCTATACAGGGTCGCTAAGATTCCGAACCAGCTTGACAGCACAAAACAACAAATAATGCACACACGTCTACTAGCTGTTAATATTACCCTGTGATTTATAAATAACGTGTGTCACTGTGGTTTAATGCACTGGACTGCAAGGTCGGTGGTTTCAGCTTCCCAGCTGCTCCTTGGAAACCCTACCCATGGTGGCTAGGAGTCTGAACTGACTTAACCATACTTAACAACAGTAACAAAAACTGGATACAATTTTTATGAGTTTATTAAAGTTGTGTTGTTGCTGTTGTTGAGTGCTGTCAAGTTGGTTCCGCCTCATAGCAACTCTGAAGATGGTTTCTGAGACTGTAAATCTTTACGGGAGCAGAAAGCCTCATCTACTTCCCATGGAGCAGCTGCTTGGTTGGAAATGCTGACTTTTGTGGTTTACAATCCAAAGCTTACCAATCCAGCACACCCTAAAGTTGTATTGTTTGTATAATTATTTGTTATTCTTGTAAGTGCTGTGGAGTTGGTTCCTACTCATAGCAGCCCTGTATAGGGTTTCTTAGAAGCGGCTGGTGAGCTTGAACTGCTGAACTTGTGGTTCAAACCAGCCTAGCAGTCCAGCGCATTAACCTACAGCGCAGCACCAGGACTGCATTTATAATTATAGAAGGCAAAATTAAAAAATATATATATATGATGTTACTTAGCTAAAGTCTCCGTTTTCATTTTCAGTCTGGATTTTGCTAAGTATTATTTTTAAAAATATGATTTGGAATTTTGAAGTAGAGATTTTTATCATTGTGGAGAAACCTTTACCTGTTCTGCATGTCCAATTGGTTTATACATTACATGAGAACACAGGCATACAAAAAGGGAACATTTATTGACATAATGTAAGCTCTTATTTACATCGACTTCTCTTTCCTTTTCTAATCTCATTAAGGCATTCCACTGATCACAAAATAAACAGTTGAATATTCATTAAAAGAAAAATAACCTACATTAATTCATAAATCCTCAAGATTGACCTATGACAGAGGACTGTTATTATTCTAATTTTATAGATGGGACAAAGAGTTAAATAACTTGAAAAACCATATATCTTTTTAATAGTGAAGCTGTGAGCTAAACTTGGGCTGTCTAGTCCCAGGTCCATCTCCTTAACCAGTATGTCATTTCCCCCATAATGAATGGACAACTCTTCATTTTGTGATTAGTGGAATTTGATCATTTACTCAAACACACTTTGACCACTTTTCAGGACTAAGTATCATGTACTGCTTTACTTCATTTGCCCTATCAAAAAAACTACTGCCCCATTTTGTTCTGATAAGGTGTTTTGCCAACTGGAAAACTATGAATTCTTTCAGTAACAAGGAATTATATTCATTAAAGATCCTTCAAATTCATCAATGCCTAATACTTTGCTCATAGTACAAATTCAGAGGATGCGCTGTAATTTACATTATATACTTTAAATTATTACCATGTGCTCTGATTACGTAGTTTTCAAAAAATAAAATGATGAGTGATGGAATTATGGTGGCAGTGTAGAATAAGCACTGCCACCATAATTCCATCACTCATCATTTTATTTTTTGAAAACTATACAATATATTTTATAGGTTCGTGGTTCAAACCCACCAGTCACACCTTGAGAGAAAGATGAGGCTTTCTACTCATGTAAAGATTTGCAGTCTCCAAATACAGGGCACTGTGGTTGGAACTGACTCAATGGCAGTAGGTTTGGCCTGGGTTTTAGATGCATGAATGAGTGTGTATATGTGAAAGAACACAATTTTTACCATGTATATTGTAAAACTTCCATTCATTATTCCAGACTTTGAACTACATTCTGCTGATACTATTCTTTAGTGTATACAGCATATATCACCTGTGTAACATTTTCTATAACGTTCTTTTGTGATCTACGGAGCTAATGTAGACATCTAAGATAGGGTAGCATAACCAAATAAAACATTAATTTAAAAAGTACCCTTAACTATGGGACAAATAGATGAAATGGAAGGAGTCCATTTATGATAATACAGTAAGTTTCTGATAATACAGTATGTTACAAAATAAATAAATAAATAAATACCTTCTCCAAGTTATTTAGGTAAAGAAGCTGCCCAAGTTTTTTCTGAAGTTGTGATGTAGCAACGGCTTTATCATTTACCAGTTTTATACGATTTTGTTCTACCTGAAAAACAAACAGAAAAGTTCTTGTTCCTTCTCAAACTGTATTAAACAAACATCGTTCTTCCTCATCAATGTACATATATCCCATTTCGCAAATTTGAATTTTCACATATTGTTGTTGTTGTTGTTGTTAGGTGCCATCAAGTTGGTACCCACTGATAGTGACCTTATGCACAGCAGAACGAAACACTGCCCGATCCTGGGGCAACCTCACTACTGTTGCCACACTTGAGTCCATCAATGCTGCCACTTTCACATATTAGTGGATTTTATATCTGAAAATTCAAATTTGTTCAAAGGAGACTATAAAATATGTAACAAAAGGACTGTATGCATTAAGGAAGACAAAATCAATGTAGAGTTCCTCTAAACGGGAAGCTTCCTTGTATATTTAAAGTCTGATAAAGAGTCAACTCAACCAAATTTTATCTGTGTACCACTTTTCAAGAATATATCTAGGGAACGGAAAAAAAAAAAAAAAAGTTTTCTGCTTTGGCCAGTAAATGTTGAACAAATCCAAGAAAGATTCTTCTGCTTACTTACCACCTGCCATTAGAATATAGTAGATCCAATAGGAGTATTCAAATAAGAGGGATTTGTTCTCACAGAAAAACTTACAAAGACTTCACACTTTAAAAGTTAGTGAACTAATATATAAAGATTATTTCTAAGTTTTTCTAGGTTAGAGTTTTCACCTTTGTACAAAGAAAGCGATTTACAACATTAAACATGAAGACATATTAAACATTTAGAAAAACATGAGCAAAATAGTATTTTTAATATGGGATCTAAATGTTTGGTGGCTATTTCTTAATGCTGAAATATAAGAAGACGTTGTTAATATTTGTTCATCACTAGCAAAGGAAACAGCACACAATGAGAGTTGGTGAAGATTTTTCGTGTTCTGACTGAGCTGAGGTAAACAGACCCCAGATCTCAACACTGACCAAGGACACCTGCAGGTTTAGGAAAAGAGTACTCAAAAATAAATAAATGTCCAACGTGGAGAGAAAGCAACCAAATACACCAAAACAATAAATGCCAAAAGCATATACACAGTTTGAAGTTGCTCACAGATAACCATTTTTGACATAAAAAACAACAATTTCATATGCTCAAACTAAGAGCAAAGATTAAATCCTTACTTACAACAAGACGCATTGCCCTGACTCATCTACCTCTTCTATAGGTCTTGGGTTTTGTATATCTATTTACTGTACCCTTTTCTGTTATTAACTTGAGAGCTACCTCATGTGGTTCAATGATATGAAGAACAGGCGGACTGGGCTTCGGCTCCTTAGGGTGGCGCACTCTTAGTCGTTCCGTAGCCATTGCAAGTTCATCAACGGCAGATACACGATTCCTCAGAGTCATCCAATATTCATGAAGTAACTGGATGAACAGAAAAGACACGGACAGTGGTAAAGAAGATAATTAAGAATGGTTACAACTACTACGATGAGTCATAAAAAAAAAAAAAATCTTCAGTGAGGTCTCAAGACATGCTTTTACTTTAAGGTTGAAGGCACAGGCAATTCTTCGGCCATTTTTAGTATGAGATAGTATGTCTGGGTAATCTCCATAGGATACCGTAGAGCACTGCCTCTTCAGAGTCTTAGATTCACTGCAGTTATACTATATGTACATATGGTTAAAAATTCAGTTATGTGTTTTCTCAGACTTACAAGATTCAAGTCATACAGCAATCAGTGTATTTTGTGGACACACTTTCTTCACTAACATTATATTTCTAAGGTATATCCCTGTGGACATGTTTAACAATAGCTCATTCAGTTGCATTATTGTGAAAGGGTTTAGTCTGCAAAGTTATAACGGAGAAATGCACGAAAATCTGAAGAACTGCACAATACCATTCCTCTGAGACAGAGCATGTGACCAACTGTAGAAAAAAGGAAGAGACACATGTAAATACACAGGGTCGCAATGAGTCAGAAATGACTAGATGGCACATAGCAACCATAACTGGACATTGTATACTGTACTCTCTTCTCCCATGCTTTGATATAACTATGTTAATGCGTTTGCCTTTAGAATTATATTAGGAAAATGTTACAATTTTTCAGTGAGTCCTATTTTACATCTAACTTAACAAACACAAGAACTGGTATTATAGACACTCTATCTTGTGAGTTGCTGTGATTCTGGAGCTATGCGACAGGTATTTTAAATACTAGCAGGGAAACACATGGTGGACAGGTTTCAGATGAGCTTCCAGATAAACACAGACTACGTAGAAGGACTGACGAACTACTTCCAAATATTTAGTCACTGAAAATATTATGAGTAGCAGAGAAACACTCTCAGATACAGTGCTAGAAAACAAGCCCCTCAGGTTGGAAGGCACTCAAAATGCGACTGGGGAAGAACTGCGTCCTTAAAGTAGAGTTGACCGTGATGACGCGAATGGAGTAAAGCCTGTGGGAGTAAAGCCCTCGGGACCTTCATTTGTTGATGGGGCACAAGCCATAATGAAGAGAAACAGCCGTAAACATCCATTAATAATCAGAACACGGAATGTACGAAGTATGGATCTAGGAAAACAGGAAATTGTCAAAAATTAAATGGAACGCAAAAACACTGGTATCTTAGGCATTAGTGAGCAGAAATGGACTGATACTGGCCATTCTGAATCTGACAACAACATGGTTTACTATGTTGGGAATGACAAATTGAAAAGGAATGGTGTTGCATTCATCCAGATCAGTAATGAAGTACAATGCTGTCTGTGAAAGGATAATACCCATGTGTCTACAGAGAAGATCAGTTAATAACACTATTATTCAAATTTAGGCACCAACCACTAAAGTCAGTGAGGATGAAACAGAAGAACCCTACCAACTTCTTCAATGTGAAATCGATCAAACATGCAATCAAGATGTACTGATCATTACTGGTGATTGGAATACAAAAGTTGGAAACAAAGAAGAATCAGTAGTTGGAAAATATGGCTTTGATGATAGAATTGATGCTGGAGAACGTATGACAGAATTCTGCAAACTCATGGACTTGTTCATTTCAAATACCTTATTTAGACAGCATAAGAGATGATTCATACACATGGACCTCACCAGATGGAACACATAGAAATCAAACTGAATACTACATTTACGGAAACAGATGGTGGAAAAGCTCCCTATCGTCAGCCAAAACAAGGCCAGGGAAGACTGTGGAACAAACCATCAATTGCTCATAATGCAAATTCAGACTGAAGCTGAAGAAAATGAAACAAGCCCACGAGAGCCAAAATACGACCTTGAATATATCCCACTTGAATTTAGAGATCATCTAAAAAACAGGTTTGATACATTAAACACTAAAGACCGAAGACCAGAAGAGTTGTGGGATGACATCAAGGACAACATACAGAAAGAAAATAAAAAGCCATTAAGAAAACAAGAAAAAAGGAAAAGGTCAAAATGGATGCCAGAAGAGACTCTGAAACTTTCTCTCCAGCATAGAGATGCTAAAGCAAATGGAAGAAATGACGAGGTACAAGAGCTGAACAGAAAATTTCAGGTTAGCTCAGACAAAGTCAAATATTGTAACAAAATGTGCAAAGATCTGGAGTCAGAAAACCAAAAAGGAAGAACACGCTAAGCATTTCTTAAGCTGGTGGAACTGAAGAAAAAATTCAAGCCTTGACTTTTATTATTGAAGGATTCTCTGGGCAAATTATTGAATAATGCAGAAAGTATTCAAAGATAATGGAAGGTAAACACACAGAATCACTGTACCAAAAGGATATCATTGATGTCCAACCGTTTCAAGGGGTAGTATTTGATTAAGAGCCAATGAAACTGAAGAAAGAAGTCCAAGGTGCATTGAAGGAATTGGCAAAGAACAAGACACCAGGAATTGATGGAATAAAAATGGAAATTTTTCAATAAAGTGAGGCGGCACAAGAGGCACTCACTCATCTATGCCAAGAAATTTGGAAGACAACTATCTGGCCAACTGGCTGGAAGAGATCCGTGTTTTTGCCCATTTCAAAGAAAGGTGACTCAAAAGAATACGAAAATCATACGACAATATCTTTGATATCCCATGTGAGTAGTTTCACTAAAGGTAATACAGAAATGGCTGCAAGCATACATTGACAGAGAACTTCCAGAGGTTTAAGCTGGACTCAGAGAAGACTGTGGAAGGAGGGATATCATTGCTGATGTCCGATGGATCTTGGCTGAGCAGAGAAAACCAGGAAGATGTTTAGCTGTGCTTTATTAACTATGCAATGGCTTTAGATTGTGTGGATAATGACAAGCTATGGATAACACTGTGAAGTATGAGTATTTTGGAACACTTAATTGTGCTCATTAGGAATCTGTACCTAGACCAAGAAGCAGTTGTTCGAACAAAACATGAGAACACCGAATAGTTTAAAATTAGGAAAGGTGTGCAACAGGGTAGTTTTCTTTCACTATACTTATTCAACCTGTGTGCTGAGCAAATCATCCAAGAAGCTGGGTTACATGAAGAAAAATGTGGCATCAGGATTGGAGGAAGACTCATTAACAACCTGTGATATGCAGATGATACAACCTTGCTTGCTGAAAGTGAAGAGGGCTTAACATACTTATTAATGAAGATCAAAGAGCACAGCCTTCGGTATGGGTTGCATCTCAATGTAATGAAAACAAAAATCCTCACCACTGGACCAATAAATAACATTCTTATCAATGGAGAAAGATGCAAGTTGTCATGGACTTCATTCTTCTTGGATCAACCATCAACATTAATGGAAGCAACACTCAAGAAATCCAATGACGTACTGCATTAGGAAAATCTGCTGCACAAGAGCTTTTTAAAGTTTTGAAGAGCAAAGATGTCAGCTTGAAGACTAAGATGCGCCTGACCCAAGCTATGGTATTTTCAATAACCTCATATGCAGGCAAAAGCTGGACAGTGAATAAGACAGACCATAGAAGAAATGATACTTTTGAATTATAGTGTTGGGAGGAGAATATTGAAAGTGCCATGGGCTGCCAAAAGAACCAATAGATCTGTGTTGGAAGAAGTGAAGCTCAAGTGCTCCTTGGAGACCAAGACGGCCAAATTTTGTCTTTCATAGTTCGGACAAAGTGTCAGGAGGGACCAGTCACCGGAGAAGGATATCATGTTTGGTAAGGTGGAGGGTCAGCAAAAAAGATGGATTGGCAAAGTGGCTGCATCAATGGGCTCAAGTGTGGCAACAATTGGGAGGTTGGCCCAGGACCAGGCAGTATTTCGTTCTGTTGTGCATAAGGTCACATGAGTTGGTACCAACTTGATGGCACGTAACAACAACAACTTCTTGTCTTTCTGGATAAAAAGTAAGAACTTCAGAGTTTTTGAGATACCAATTGGAATTATAATATTATAAATAGAAAATTAATATTCATTTCATTCCCTTTACTTCTATTTCACCTGCAAAATTCTTCTATATTTGGTAACAAAACTAAATAGAAAGAATAATTCAAAATCAATTAATTCTGGAGTCTCAGCTCAAGAAAAGAGTTTATACACAGTGGAATTATCGAAGTATCAATATGAAGGACAAGTTTGTACGAATTGCAATGATTTCCACATTTTCAGATTAAGAAGTATTTACTATGCTTTCCAGTCTTCAAGGTAGTTTGTTCTGTTATTGAGAGAGAAGCAAAAAAAAAAAAAATCCTATTTTCTATTTCACAGATAGCAGTGTTAAGAATAATTTAGGAAGAGACAAGAACACTTTCACAGCTAAATAAAAGGTTTCATTTAGGTTCATCTTGACAATGACATTCTTTTAATAATTTAATAAACATATTATTTATTTGTTCGTATAATTTATTACAATAATTACATATTAGGGAAAGAGACATTCTGATAATACATCAGGAGTCTAAAGTAAATTTTTAAAATGAAGGAAAAAAAGGTATCAGGTTAAGTAATGTCAAAGACGAGAATGTGCAATTCTAGAAGGTTTTTAGACACTTTACCTTATATTCCTTCTTCCATGCTTCAAAGAGATCCATTAAAGTACTTCCTTCATCAATGAATTCAACATCGAATCGATGTGATTTTGCAAACGACAGTATTGCTTTCATAGAACGCTCTGTCTCACTTGTTGCCCACAGACCCCGGCTAGTTGTAGGCACTCGATCATCTACGAGTCCTTCTTCATCTTCTATCATCTCCTCAAATATTGCAGTCTGGCCTTTGACTCTGAAGACATACCAGAACAAAACAACAGGACCAACAGTCAGTGCATACACAGCAGGCACTGAAAGTGAGTGGTACGGACAGATCACTAACAACCCTTCAATGTCACGTCCAGTAGGTCATAGCTGCAAGTCTCCGGTAAAACAAGTGACTCAGAACACGCTGGTGGCTTCAAAAATTTGTCTAGTGTTTTTGGTACAACATGGCATAACACAAAAATGGTTATAAATTCTGGCTACAATCTCACTCTGAGAATTAAAAAGAAAACACAAAACACCAAAAAAACCCCCACAAAACCACAAAGCACCTACCACCACCAAGTCATGCAAATAAACAAATCTACAGATACAGTGTCAGTAATCCCTTCCTTTTGAGGGAATCAGAATGTAACTTTTCCTTCATTTCCAAATTTCTAAAATAGAGATAAGTAAGTGAATATTGTGACTAGATGTACTTTTTAAGCAGTTTAATCCACAATGTGAAGATGAAGACCTCAAATCTGCGCTGAAGAAAGGGTATAATAATGAGCTAACAGTTTATAGGACACTGATCATGAACCTATGCTAAACAACCATATGTGTTTTCTTATTCAATATTCATAAAAACTCAATAAAGTAAGCAAGCGTTGTTTATGATCTTCATTTCATGAACAAGGAAACTGATGCTTAGGAAACTAACCTGCTTACAATACGACTATTCCAAATTATTCCTTCTCAGTCAGTTAGAAGTTACTACAGGGTGTGAACCTTTAGGAGGTATCTTTACATGGTGAAACTGAGCATGTTAAATTTGACAATCTCAAAGGTTTACTAATATGGTTTAACAAAAGAAAAGATGCAAAAAGTCACTGTATGAAAAATGTATTATTACCATCAAAATCCCAAATCTCATAAAAACTTTTCCTGATATGAAATAAGAACCAAATACAAAACTTACGTTTGGGAAAATAGCTTCGATTCATACTCTGTGAACAATTCATCAGCTTTACAAAAGACACAGCTGGAAAAGAAGATTATCACAGAAAAATTCAGAAGTATAACCAGCAATCAAATCATTTTTATCACAGTCTTAGTAGTTAACTCTTGACTTTTTCTTTACGAACACATAGACCATTTCAGGGAGAATTTCAGCAAGTGGTCCTTGACAGTTCTCTCTT